CTTTAACCAGAGTTCCCAAACCCACAGTTAGCCACATTATGGTTTCCAAAAGGGGGTTTAGAGGGGTTTAAATCAACCCCCCTAGAGCCTTTTTTCTGTGGTCCTCTAAGCCAGAGTAGTAGAGAAGGCAGTTACCTAACCAGAAAACCACAGCCGGTCAGTTAAGAAGAAGCAGCAGCAGCAACAGGGTTCAAGGTCTGCAGAGCCTCCCGATTACGACCGAGAACATTGAGAGCAGTTGCAGCTATGTGAGCAGCAGTGAGTCCTGCATCGACCAGCTGATCGCTGTACGCTCCATGGTCGATGAACCGGTCAGGAAGAACCATCGGCCGTACCTGCGTCCACAGAGAAGAGAAAAACGGGAGCAACAAGGTATTGTCATCAACAACAAGACCACGTACATGCCACAGAGGAAAAAAAAGTGAACAATACGTATTGTATTGTGAATTTGTGATCAATAACAAGGTCAAGTGCATGTGAAGCAAACCTGCTGGATCCAAACCAAAACCACGTGGACAAAACCACGTGGATTAGGAGTTAGAAACCAGTTGGTTCAGGAACGAGCCACGTGGCACCGTTACATCGATCACCCATGGCACCCCCTAACACTACTCAACTCACTCCTCATCGAACACCCACATAATCAAATGGAACCCGATCGAATAAATAGGGTGGGATGCGATTGAATAAGATGGGATGCGATAGAATAGGGTGAGATGTGATGGATGTGATTTGAAAAAAAAAAAAAAAAAAAGAGGATGGCATGCGAACAGGTGGAATGAGATAGATTGGGAATGGGATTGGTGTGGGACGTTGGTGTGGGATGATGGGATGGGGATTGGGATGGGGATTGGGGTGGGATGGGTTGGGTTGGGATGGGTTGGGTTGGGATGGGCTGCGGATGGGCTGGGGATGGGTTGGGGATAGGTTGGGGATAGGTTGGGGATGGGTTGGGGATGGGTTGGGCATGGATGGGCAAATGCATGAAAGAATGAATATGTGAGGTCGGCAAGTAACATAAGGCAAATTACAAAAAAAAAAAAGAAAAAAAAAAAGGGGAAATCAATTCAAATCATGGTTTGGAAATTTGGATGATATAGACGGCATTTCATTATATGATACAATTGGTATATTTATAACTTTTTTTTTTTTTTTTTCAAAAAAACAAATTGAAAAAACGAGTTTGTACGTTGAGTTCCATCCTTACCTTGAGATTTCCATCTAGAAGCCCTTCCAGTGCCAAAAATTGCAGCACATGAGAACTAAAACCTCCAATGGACCCCTCCTCCACAGTGATAAGTATCTGAAAAACAGCCATGAAAAAAAAAAAAACAGTTAGTGAACCAACCACAAGAATCACCCACACACACAAAAAAAAAGAAAAAAGAAAAAAATCATGACGAGACGTCAAAATGAAAAATGCAAGAGGGGGGCATGCATGCAAAGGGGCCACTCCCTGAAGAAATCAGCGAGAACCCCTGCGGAAAAAAAAAACAGTGGCAGTATATCAGGGGAGAGATGCAAGGGAGAAGGACAATGGCCCTCGCTCCACTACTCTTGAAATGCGCAAGACGAGAGTGAATCTCCCGCTAGAACATGGAAAGATACATCGCCATGATTTTTGTCTTTCATGCATTTCACAGGCAGTGGAGCGAGGCCCAATACCTGCCATTTCGGGTGGCATGTAGAAAGTGGGAGGGATCTAAAAAAAAAATATAAAGCGGGAGGGATCTCATATGGGATCCGACGGAGTGGGAAAGGCTAGCTCAGGGGATGCAGAGGAAAAAACGGCGCAGCTCTCTGGGGATCTGATCACAAAGAATATTTATACCTCGCTGCTGCTGGAATCCATACCTGCAGACATCTGAGGGGAGTTGAGGGATCGGAGGGCAAAGAGGGGCTGGATCCCGGGTGTGTACCTCAACAGATGGTCGCGGAGGAGATGGAACGAACAGTGTGCTATTCTGGCTGCCCTGGCTAACCAGAAGCAGGCGGGTCTGCTTTGGAAAATATACCATCTGGATATCCCCACAGCGCAATGGATAGCAACAAAGAGCCGGCACAAGGACCAACAATGTGCAGCAGGTTATGGGACAAGTTGGGACTATTGCTCACCTTTTTGTACGATGCCCGACTGCTCCCCACCAATAGAACGGAGCTCAAAAAAAAAAGAGAAAAAAAAAAAAAAGTGCAGACGTTCTGGGAGTGGTGGGTGGGCGCAAGAAGTCGCAGACAAGACAGAGCTGGACCTCACAGAGGAAGATGATGCAGCAATCCTCGTAGGGACTGTAATGAAAGTCGACAGACCGAAGATTAAAGGGGTATAATAGGGGTATAATAGGGGTACAATAGGGGTATAATAGGGGTATAATAGGGGTATAATAGCAACAAAAATCCTACGGGCGGCAGTATTGTGGGCCCTGTGGACCCTGCGGAATGAACGACGCAGACAGTGAGCATCCCTGCCGCTGCAGGCGTATCAGGAAAGGGCCTTGGAGAACATTAGAGTGGCACTTCTAGCACGGGCGGGGGTTTTTGTCACTTCTGGAGGAGCATCCCAATCCACATTGTTTGACGACAACAGCAAAGAAATTCCTGAGCTGAGCCATGCCATGATGACCATCAGATGCCCATGTGTTCTATACGAACAGTTTGCCCGACATGCCTCTTTACTACCCAGTACACCTGTGGATTGGGTTGATGGCACCAGTCTGTGAAGTCTGTAAATGGTAGGTATACACTACCTGGCACATACAAAAGAATCCCTTCATTTTGCTTTTGTTTTGCATTCCTCCCTCTCTCTCTCTCTCTCTCTCTCTCTCTCTCTCTCTCTCTCTCTCTCTCTCTCTCTCTCTCTCTCTCT